TGAAATCATATTATTTAATTAGTATTAATCAAGAATTAATTTGGAATTAATTATGTGATCAAAAGAGACTTACTAAATATATAGGGATTGATTATGTAAATCATTCATTCTTTTATATGTGGGCTTATGATCCATAGTTCTTCATGTTGGGCTAAACCCATGGATACTCCATGGAGGTTAAAACCCATGGATCATGAGGAATATGGAAAGTCATGAGTTACATGATGTAACCCTAATAGCCACAATATATAAAGACACCATAGCTCAAGAAATCGGACCTAAGGGATTCATATGAGAGGGCTAGCCGATTTTGAGCATAAGAACTTTTCTCTCAAGTTATTCCAAGTTGTTGGTGGTGTTGTGTGAGCCATTTGAGGTGTCACACTTGGGGCACTAGGCTCTTAAGCTCCATGGAATCAAGCTACAATAAAGAGGTATGTCATTCTACTAGATTCTTGTATTATATATATACTTTATATTATGCTAGTTAGGATGAAACCGTGGAATATTGAATATTTGCATGTATAATAGAGAAAACATAGATCCAAGGTTTATAGGGTTGCATGTACACCATAGGAGTGTTAGATTGCTCAAAATCCAAGAAAGGTCCAACTTAGTCGAGTACGCCCAGCGTACTCGTACTCATCTGGTACGCTAAGCGTACACCTGTTGGGGCTAATACGCTGCATACCAGGTGGGTACGCCTAGAGTACTCCCCTGTACTCCAAACTTCTCCAATAAGCACTTAATCCATTCAGCCCTTGCTCTAACTCTCCAGTCTGACTCCTTAAGGTGACTTTTCAACTAAAGTGGGCAACTTTACTAACATGTATGGCTTAATGGGACTCTAGAGCTCAAAAGAGCTTAATGGATGGTCTTAATTCATGATTGAACTCATACTCTCCATAAAGCTTGCACCTTTATGAGAGAGGGAACCTTAGAATGTCCAGATCTACAAGATTGAGCCCCTAAAACTACCCTAGCTCACCAAGACCAAGAAAAAGGAGCTAAAATGACCAGAAACCGACCCAAAGCAGATCTATGAAATGAATAGCCAAGGTAGAGACTTTATACCTTGAAATTCTTAAAATGGAGATGTTAACACTGGATCTCCAAGTTCTTATCCAGAGTTTGAGTCTTTCACCTCCTTTTCTTCTTGCACAAACCACTAAAACTCTTCTTTCAAGCTCCAAGCTTCATCCAAGGCAATCTAGGGTTTTATGAACGTAGGAAGGGGTGGTGGCTGACTTAAAATGACCTAAGGAGTGGTATAATGTTGCTTATATAGGGTAGAAACCCCGAAATTAGGGTTTTGGTCTGAAGGGAGTACGCCTGCGTACTCCTTTGTACGCTCGGTGTACTCATGAACCACTCGCGACCAATCACCTTTATACGTTGTGCGTACCCTAGATTATGCTGGGCGTACCCAGCCAAGCACGTGCATGCATCCTTGCATACATGGGACTGATTTGCAAGCTTTTCCATCCAGGGACCAATTCTGCCAATAACTTCAAAGTACCATAACTCTCTCATCCTAAATCCGCTTCCAACGAACCTTATATCCATGAAAAGGTGGCGAGAAGCCCTACTCTTCTAACAACACACCCAAGCCTTAAAACCTTCCAAATAAAACCCAAAACCCATAAAAGACCGAGATATCAATTTATAGACATACCATTGGCTTCCAAACACACAATCGAATACATGGATCACTTAAACCATGGCAACTAGATCCGAAATGGGCTAAATCCTTCCTTTCCCGAAGCCCTACACTCCATGACAACTGATGATTGGACCGCAGCCCCAAGCAACAAGGCAAATCTGAAACCGAGTGTTACATAATGACTTTATATCCTCTCAAATTTCTAAAGTGGTTAATACTAAATGGTAAAAAAAATATCAACATATATACATGTATGTGATAAAAATATAACATAATTGTTTTTTATAATAATAAAAATTAGCTTTCATGTTTTAACAAACATAAACTTAGTGAGGTATCATGTTTTGTTTATATGTAGACCAAATGCTTTAACCTATAAGAGCATCCACTAGGGGATGGTTTTACATGTTGAAAGTTTTTCTTTGAAGAAATCCATAAAAATATCTCAAGAAATAGACTTATTAAGGTAATTAACTTTTCAGTTTGTTTATATCTGGGTAACTTTTTTTGTACACATCTAGGTAACGAATTTTTTAGAAATGTTCACATATTATGAACGGCTGTAGCAGGTTATATCTGGTCATAATGGTCATATGTGAACACTTCTAAAAAATTTGTTACCTAGATGTGTACAAAAAAAATAGTTACCATATGTTAACAAATCGAAAAGGTAAGAGTAAATTACACGAATTGTTCATGTGGTTTGGGGTGATTTGCACGTTTGGTTCCTAACTTATTTTTTAACTCGGATGGTCCCTACTGTTTATTTTTGTTGCGCGCTTGGTCACTGTCTTACCAAAAAAGACTATTGTGCCCTTATTAATTTATTTTTTAATTAATTTTCTTATTTATGTATTTATTTTTTATATATTAAAAAAATTAATAGATCTCACATATTTATATCTCCTCACCCTAAACCTGAAACCATATTTGAGAAATTTAATCTGGGTCATACCAGTCACCATCCCATCTCTCATCCTCCACAATTTTATTTCCTTTCCATTTTTAGTGATATCGATGTCTTCATCATTCCTTCTTTTTTTTCGATTCTTCAATTCCGACGAACCAACACCATAACCCACTATCTTTTTATAGAATTTTCCACCATCACAACCTAATGCATCACAATCCTTGCAGGAAAAGAAAATTGATACCAGAAAGAAAAATTAGAGAACTAGATCAATTGAAAACCATAACTTGAAATGCAAATCAAAACGTGAAACTCTATTAACAACATTCTAAGCTTTAACTCATCAAACAATATGTTTTTTTATATTATTGGTCTCAATTTCTGATACTTTTAATCTCTACTAATTTTAATTTTTATATTTAATATATTAAACAATAAAATTCTATAAAACGACGATGTGTTTTTTTAATGTCAAATCTAGAGTTTTTTTTAAAAAAAAATTTTTTTTTTTTTTTAAACAAAGTAGTGTATTTTAAAAGGATATTTACCAAAATGGTGTGGTTTAAAAATATTTACCATTTAGGTTAAATTTTATACCAAATCAAAATTAGAAGGTAAAATAAAAAAGAAAAGAAATTAGCTTATCAGAGTAATTAACTTTTCGGTCTGCACATCATCTGGGTAACTATTTTTTTTGTACACATCTACGTAATGAATTGTATGGAAGTATTCACATATGACCATTATGACCGGATGTAACCTGCTACAGCCGGTCATATGTGAACACTTCTAAAAAGTTTGTTATCTAGATGTGTACAAAACAAAAATAGTTACCTAGATGTGAACAAACCAAAAAGTTAATTACCTTGATAAGTCTATTTCCCAAATATTTCAACAAGAAAGAAACATACCAGTGACTTTTTTGCCTATGCTGCAGAAAAGTAGTTAATGATAATCAAAAAGAGATTGACAATTTCCAGTTTTAGGCACAAAACAATGAAATATTGTTCTAGATCCGTGTATTTGGTATGTTACATGAATAGTTGTATAGAGATTAGGGAGATATTGTATCTTTACACAACATTTTTTGTTCATAAATAACAATTTATGTTTTATAGAGTTGTACAGTACAAACATATAAAACACAAATTGTTGTGTATGGCTAAAAACTGTTGTGTACGGATCCGCACCCATTCTCTATATAAACACATCAATACATAGTTAAATTCTTACCATATTTTGTCTAGAATTATCCGAGAAGATGTGTTTCAATTTTTTAGTATTTAAATGTTTTCTTTATAATATTGGACTTTGATGAGTGATTGGGGTTGTTTTTTCTTAAATTTGCATATCTTTTGGTTTTATTTATTTTGTCTTTCATTTTCTTTGAGAAATGAAGTAGGTATTTAAACAATCTAAAAGGGAAAAGAATAAATATATATCCAGCAACTTATTTTTGAATGAAGTTAAGGGTTTAATTTTCAAAATTGAGATAATTGCCGTTTCATTTTAAGATGCTAAACTTTATCACCTAAAAACCTCCTTAACAAACAATTATTTTTAATTTATCACTTACTTTCTTAAAACTTATATTTACAGATTCCTTAAAGAACATATATCAATAAAATTTGACAAATAGATCCTAAAAGGTTCTTATGATCCAACCTTTGTAAATACAACATGGTTGACTAAAAATAATCCCACATGCATGATCTAGTGGCCAATAACTTACTCAAAAATCTCGAAAAGATTTAACTCCATTAGATATTCTACAAATGGATCAAAGATTCAGTATCTTTCCTGCCTATTAATTGAGTTGACTTCCAAGATCGTATACTTTACATTCGCAAGTCTATAAAAGAACTATGTGTTTGATTTTTAAGAGTCAAACTGTGTTGATTTCTTCTTGATAACAATGATTCAACACCTGCAAGATGTCTTCCATTGACGGGCGTTTGTCTTTTTCTGGATGAAGACACGTTGAAACAAGTTGAGCCAACTTGAATGCTCCCTTTGGAGGACAATCATTATGTTGATGAAGTTGTGGGTCCACAATCATTCTCAGATTTACCTCATCTGCTAACAACGGAATAGCCCATTCCACAAAATCTTCTTTTCCAAGGGGTCTCTCCTCATCATACACCTTCATCCCGGTTAGCATTTCCAGCAGTACCACTCCAAAAGCATACATCTCATTCTTCATCGCAAAATCTGTCAAAGTGGTGTGTTTGATTGGTTAGCCATTTGCGTAACCACAAATAACTAAGGGGGCATTTGGAAGTTGGATTTTGTAGGATTTGGCCGGAATTAGAATTCAGTTCCATTTTAATCCTGCATTTGGTTGCAAATAAGTATCGGACTGAAATCCCTTGGAATTCACAAAATCCTTTGACCAATAATGAATCCATGAATTTAATCACCAGCATTCCTCCTTGTTAGATAGAAGTACTCCTATACCATTTTAACCCTCTAATTTCACAAGTAAAGGCACCTCCCTATGCTTCCCCTCTTCTCGCGCACGAACACTAGGAATCCCATTCCATTTTATGCCGACCAAATGTGTGACAGAATTCAATTCCTTCCAATATATTCTACACACCAAATGCCCCCTCAAGTTGTCTAGCCATATATAGGGGTAAGTGCATGGTAAAGACTTGGTTGGTATATCATTCAAATATATATTGAGAGGATAAAAAATGTTTCACTTTAAGTACCATCTGTAGGCGATAGTCCATGAAGAATATCATATGTTTCTTCGTATCTATCAAATCTGTCTGCTCTGTAACGAAACCACTCAGGGGCGGCATAATATCGATCCATTTGGAACACGTATGAATCAAAAGCAAAATCCGAAAGCCGGGCATTAAAATCTTGAAACAAGCATCAAAGATATAGAAAAAGAAGCTAAAATTGATGTTAGACTGAGATGAAAAAGTGATGGTGTGCATATCAAGGACTTAGGATAGTCCTCAAAATGGAATCTATTCCAAAGATATATGTCATGGTTCCTTACTTCGACATGTACATATATCTAAAGTTTTATTTTTTAGATATTTTTTCAGACCTATTGTCGATACTAAGTAGCAGTAAAAAATTTGAATCCATTTTTCATGATATTATGCATGGATCAAATATATCATGGCGAATTCTTTAGAATTCCAGGCGGTCTTTCTTTTGGGCAGTTGTTCACCGTTGGATCTCACTAATACAGTCCCCTAAAGTTTTCGTTATCGAGATATCTTTTTTTGTTTTTTCATTGTTCCCAGGTATTTTTCATAAATTGGAGAACGAAAAAAGAGGTTAAATTTCAATGGCTTCTAACATTTGATCATTCGGGAGTTACAAGGCACAACTTTTATAGACAAAAATCTATCATCAGGCAAGAGCTTCGAACAACTTATATAAAACTTACGGATATGGAGTTACAGGGCCCCACATGTCAGCCCTACTTTTTCTGTTTTGACCTCCCATTAGCGCTCTGCTCCCGAGTTTTATTTAATGAGAGAAAGGAAAGTAAGCGGGAAGATTTGGAAAGATCTTTGTTCCCGAGTTTCATTTAAGGAGAGAAAGAAACAAAAAGAAAAAGAAGATTCAAGTTAATGTTAAGATTTATGGAGTCTTGAATAAATTGACAAGTTCCTAAGAATTCAAGGGCCATAAATGAAACT